TAAGTGGAGGTTATGAGCCATTTCCCATGTGACCTTTGGTTTAAGCCGGCTCCGACATGGATCTCTACAAGGACAAAGGACAATCGCACTCGACCATACACCGTATAGGGTGTATTAAATTTTTAACTCGAGTTTCACTGCAGGTCAAGTATCTTTTTTTTTTAATGGTTAAAAGATTATGAAAATATTAGGAAGTTTAAAGTTTTATATATACTAGAGGGCACTTTTTTAAAATATGAAGAACAACACATTAAAAGAAAAAAAGATAGTGACATTTTAGATTCACCTAAATACATTTGTGATTTGAGTCATAGTATTGTGATAATGTTATAGAACACAAATTGAAAAAATTAAAAAGCTTAATTTTAATTAATCAAGTATTAAAGAATAAAAATTAAAAAATTAATTTAAAAAAATCTAAAAAAAAATGATAGGAGTAAACTTAAAAAAAATAATCAAACTCGTGATTCAAATCATGAAAACAAGGCTCACCCAAAAAAATAAAAAATAAATGTAAAGACCGGTTTCTAATCAATCTATTGTCAACGTATAAAATTAAAAAAAAATATTACTTTTAAAAAAGTAATAAAAAAACTGAAGTATGAACTTGTAAAATTCATAACTTGCATAATGAAATTAATATAATTTTATATAAAAAAATACTCATTTTAAAAAATATATAAAAAAAACTATCCCGCCATAATTTAAAAAAAATAATGTATGATTTTTTTTAAATAAATTATTTAATTAAAGTTAAAAAACAAAATTTAGCTCTTAAAAAAAAATCCAAGAATCCAGTTCTAATGGACCAATTCATGGACCCTTAATTAATTTATTTTTTTCTGGGCATCTCACTAACTGATTTACTTTCTTGCATAGATGCAAATGACACTTTATCTACATTTTTAATTTCCAGCGACTTAAGGGTTGCCAGAAAATTAAGGCTGGGGTTTTTCAAACCTAAAAATTTAGGTTTTGATCTTTTCCAAACCCATAAAACTTCAAAACAATAAACCCCTTAATGCATTCAAACAATCTAAAATTTGGTCTATAAACAAAAAAAATCAACCCAAAACCCAAAAAATCTTAAGGTTAGACCTATCTTCTTAGAAGATTTTTCAGTGAGTCTCTCTCATCTCTCTAACTAAAAATTGAAAAATAAAAAAAATAAATTTTTGTTTCAAAATCAATTACTTTTAAAATTTAGAGGGATCAAAATATTGTTATTGAAAAAAATATGAAGACCAAAATAAACTTTTTGCCTGAATTTTTTTACCACCAGTCATTTCTAGCAACTTTAAATCCATCTTTGTCGTAACAAAATAATCTAAATGGACTATTTAAAGGGAAAAAATAACAAAAAAAAATCCAAATGAAATATGTTTGTGAAAAGTGGTGTGGCTCCACTTAAAGTTTTGTTAATATAAGTAGTTTGTTTTTTATCATGGTTTTATACTCATTTATAGAATCTATTTGTTTACGCAACTACAATAGTATTTACGACAGTATTTCAAGCAAAACACAATTCCTGCATGTTCGGTAAAGAAAAAAATAGAATTTACTGTTCATGAGCCTTGCTTTTTATTGTGTTTGCAACGCAGGGTTAATCAAAGCAGCTTGGGGCTGCTTTTGTTGCAAACTATGTTACAATATAGTAAATAATGGTGTCGCTTATAGAAAATAGAGGAAGGAAGTTAACCAGCTCTTCCTCTTCTCCTTTTACATTTCCATGTCTTCACTATTTTACTACGTGAATAGTAAAGACTATATTGTTCACATTGAAGAACAATGGACCAGCTCTTTCCTTTCGTCTCCTTATTCTTCTTCTGCACTTCCATGTCTTCACTATTCATGTTGAAGAATAGTGAATCGCAACTCCCTAACCACTGCCTAGGACCACCACCTCTTCCCCTTGTCGTTGTCTTTCTTCTTTTTTTGCACTTCTTCATGTCTCCATTGTTCTGCTACGTGAATAGTGGAGAGCAGCTCTATTATTAATGGACCGAACCGGGTTCAGCCCCAACTTAAATGCATTGAATCGGGTGTGACTCAATAAAATAAAAAAATCTAATTTTTTTCAGATATTGTGTTATGTTTAAAAAACTAATATTTAATATGATTCAATAGCACTACATAATTACATTTGAAGAAAATTGGATGATGGCGTAACATTTATAGAATTTGATCGCAATCATAATTTTGTTCTTAATGATATTTTACTTGATGTTGTTGCACACTCAGAAAACTATGAAAACTATAGTCCTTGTTGAATAGATTTCATATGTGATGAAATTGAACATAATTTAATGCAATAATAAAAAATATTTTATATAAAGTATTATTTATTTCATGATGTAATAGCAGTAGTTAAATTGATAATATTTCAATTAAAAACTATTAATATTAATATATGTCTTTTTAATTATTTTATAATATCAATTTGAAAAGTATTCTTTAATCAAACACATTAACGTATTTTTTATTCAATCTCAATTTTAACTACAATTTTAATCAAACATATATTTTTTCAAATCAACCTTGACTAAAAATATTTTTTATAAAATATTTTTTTAAATTACAACCACAATAATTTTCACAATACTAAACATATAGTATGTAAAAAAGGCTATTTAACTTAACTCTTTACTTGTTCTCGTGACAGCAAGGAATCAATGGACAAATGCATGCTAACTACAACACATTGTTCTGGTTTTGTCCATCATACCATTTGATAAGGTCCTTGGGCCAGTTTCTGCTGTTCGTGGACCATAATACCATGTCAAACTTGCAGCAACTCAGGTAACAAATCTAGCACGGGGTATCATATTACACCTTTTCAATATTTTAGAACGGGAAAATATCATCAGCAGTTTTACTCGACATTTTGAATGTTAAAATGGCATTATTTTCCTTTGAGATCCTCATCCATTTCCATTCGTGTTCGAATTGTAAAATGTGACATTTATAAGATATTTTTGAAATGTTCTACTACTACAAATTTCGTGTCAGACTCAATCAATTAGCCTCGGTCAGTACTGGAATTGCCAAAAATAAATAAGCAACAGATTAGAAGAAGGAAAACCTGCATTTTTTGTTAATATTGATAGGAATTCGGATATAACTAATTATAATACGACTTTCTTTCTCACTTGGATTCCATTTCGCTGCAGGGTGATAAATCAACCGAGAACTGGTTGCTTTGGTATGGAGAAGGTGGTGAAGTTGGGTACTGGCCGAGCAAACTATTCACCAATCTGAAAGATAGTGCAGATGTTCTTCGACGGGGAGGAATGGTTTACAGTAAGTAGCACACAACAAGGGCCACAAATGGGAAATGGGGACGACGGTGAAATCCATAGCTCTAAATTTACACGTTCTGAGATGTTTATATCTTGGCCTAAAAAATTAATCTCCCCTACCCAACAAAACAGCAAGCAAAGAAGACATTTGAGTAGCTGGAATGTGTGCTCGAGTTGTCCGCGGAATGGCACCCGTCTAAGCCTACTGTACCTGGAAAAGGTTCTCAGTATAATACCCAAGTGTCAATCCTGATTATACAGATCATCCTGTACTTATAGAGTTCGGATGGCATGAATTATGATGGAACTAGAATTAAATACTGTAAGTTATATTCTTGAAATGGGGCTGACAAGTTCATGATCATTTTCAAAATACCTGCCATACCTTCTCTGCTGCTCCTCTGTAAGATAAACTCAAGCGTGTGAAGCACAAAAGTTCATGAAAAACAACAATTGCAGGATGTCTAAGGTAACAAAAAGAATCCGTGTAATTCTAATTAGGAATACCTTAAGGGCCACATTCTGGCCTCTCCTAGCATTATCAACAGGTAGCTTGTTATAATGCAAAATGTAAGTATTTACCCAGAATTCCCCTTTGAAATGGCTGATTATCTATTTCACCTAATTAAGCACCTTACAAGTGGTATCAGAGCCGTATCAGAGCCGGGATCCATATAACTGATGGACAGGGCCATAATACACACTTTTCCCAATTGGCTGAACCAGTGGCATCGTTACGTACCGCCCAGGACAATCAAAACCAAGATCAATAACAAATGCAGCAAGCAGTGGATTGTTTAGCACAACAACTACAACTTGTTGTGGCTAATATGGAGTTGTTGGTCCATACACAATGGAAGTCTACAGAAGATTCAAACTCCGCCTTCACTTCACATGGAAATCCAGCATTGGAGGAGCATAGTGGCATTCAAAATAGAGCGATTCGTTAGGACTTTCCCCAAGTTTAACGGCTAAAGTCCTCATGGCTGGACCTATCGAGCGACATCATGATAAAACCTATTCTTTCTTACATTGTTGGATCAATTTCAGCATGTTTTTATGGAACATCTAGGCCTACCTTCTAAGCATGACCATGAATACCATATTACACTCCAAGCAAATACTAAACCAGTTTGTGTTGGTCCTTGTCACTGCACTTATTTCCGAAAGTCTTAAATTGAAAAATTAGTCAATGACTTGCTCAAATCTGGAATTGTTCCACCTAGTCAAAATCCTTTTTTCTCACTGGTAATCCGCATTTATAATACATAATTAATTAAATGCAATTTCAGGAATAATTTGATTTCAGACAGTCCAATAGTTGAAACTTTCACTAGAGGACTATGAACTAATTGCCGTAGGAGCTCAGGCAAGAATACAAATTAATCCATTAAACAGTATACCCTACTTAGTTCCTTTTTTTTTCTCTAATGAAATATTCATTTATCCCAAAAAAAATAATAATAATAATAACTGGCTTTTGGAATTTGTTGGAAGGTACTTTCAAGTGAAAATAATACGAGGGCAAACATCAATGAAGCAAGAATTGCTGCTTTGAAACCCATCCTAGCTGACAAGAATAAAACATTATTGTTCCAAACATGATTGCCCGTAGTTACTGAAGGGCAGAATCGCTCCTTTTATTAACATTTTTATGCAGTCATCCTAGTCCATCTAAAAACATACTCTGTTATTCCAATTCAAAAGGTTTTCCTCATCAAAATGAGGACGGGTTGGCACGAATCAGCCAAATGACATTTGAGAAATGTCAGCTAGGATAGCAAAGCAAAACATACGGATAGGAAATGAAAGTGGTGTCCTGACAGCATTCCATATCACTTCAGTTTAGAGAGTAGCTTTGGTGCAACCTGCATATTCCAAAATGTTGAATTCTGCACATGAACCAGAACAATAATAATCCAAGAAAGCATTAAGAAATGAAAAGAAAAACTTACGCATTTATCAATACAGAACCAGTAGTCAAAGTACTGCCCTGTACAATGTTTTTGGCCGCTTTCATCTCCTTCAACTCTCTTAACACATGCCTGTAATAAGTGGAACATAATCATACTTGAGGTGGCAAAACATATACTCAAGCTGGAAAACATCCAACCAATAGCATGTCAATAAAGTAGTGACCATTGAATCTTGATTCTATACTGCCAGAAACAAGCTAGCAACCACAGGGTTCACTGTACAGCGTATCCACATGACCATATCTCTTGTCAAGCAGCAAAAGCTTGAGCATTTAGTTAAACCAGTTAGTTTCATGGCCCAAAGTTCTCGTATGTATGCACGGATGTAGCTACAAATCATGACCCAGAATTACTGAGCTGACATATAAAACAATCAGTAGCGTCATTTCTATTAGTTCCTGACATTGTTTTCAGTTATTGTGTAATGCATAAAACAGTTGCATTAGGGAAGTTTCAGGAAGTATAACATCTAAAAGCCTTGGAGAATATTGGATATTATGCCGGTGGCCAGAAGACATAGGGCCAAGCATCATATACATTAGATATGAAGACAAAGGAATCAGAGAGAGAGAGAGAGAGAGAGAGAGAAGGCGGGCAAAAGGGAATAACAACTTAAAATGTGAAAGTGCTTCACCTCATATTCAAGTAGAGGCTTCACACACTTAGGCTTGCAAGAGTCCTCAAGATACTTCTTTTGATCAACGAGTTCTTCGTCCGCCCTAAATATAAATAAATAAGCACGACAAGCACATGCAATGGGTAAGACATGAGAAAACGTTGAAATACAACAGAAAGAGCTATGCGAGTAGATAAAGCTCATTATTGACTCTAGCAGCATAGGAAAAAGCATGTTCATGAATTTAGCATCCGTGTCATTGTGTCTGAGAACATAATTTTAGCCCATGCAACATCCAATTACAGATGAAATTCTTTATTAAAAAAAAATGAAATTATATCTTCAAAACTATATATTTACACCAGTGTGACAATACTTAAAATGCATGAACCAGCCTTTAATAGTTTGTTAATAAGAAAAGGAAAAAAAAAAAAAAGAATTTTTATAGGTTCAAAAAACCCCAGTTTATGGCAGCTAAACTACATCGCGCACCATACAAAGGATGACAGCAATTTGTTTCCCTACAGCATTTATCCATATAAAGAACCTTAAACCTGAGACCAAGACACCGGCACTAAACGGCTGTCTTCACGGTGGTTCAATTTCAGAAATGTGCAAAAACACAACAGGTGAGGTAAAAGCACATCAAAATTATAACACACTTAGCTGTAACTTAAAGGCACGATAAGTGGAGCCAAATACTTACATGTATTAGAACTAAGATATGACAATTTGCGGTGTTCCCTGTGTAAAAGACAGCAAATGATGTACTTATTTTTTTTAGATACGGAGATTAATAGACAGACCTTAGAATTTTAGAAATGCTGATTTATTTATATATTGTATATCAGAATCGGTGAAAGAAATTGAATGAAACACGAAAGAGATTTGAGTGAATGAATGAGAGCTAAAGAAGCGTACCTCTTGGTTACTGTTAGTGGGGGAGGGAGAGAGATAACAGAGATCGGCGGCGTGATTGTTCGTTGTTCGATTTTGAAAATAATGCCTCTCCTGATCTCAGTTTGCTAGTTACTGCGGGAGATTTCTGGCCTGGACCGGGCCCGTTCTTGTTGGGCCATGAATGGGCTCCTTTTTACAGAAGACATTGTCCGAGCATTTCGCATCTGGAAAATCTAGAGCGTTAGGACGGGCTTGGGACTGATTTGCAACTTGTTTAGGTGGTGAAGGATTCACGGTGTAGCAGCTTAGGAGGTCGCCGATTTTCAATCAAACTGAATTCTACGGTTTCAGTGATAGTGGCTGTTGGGTCCTTTGCGTTTTCTATTTCGATCAAATTCATTTCCGATTCCAATTTCATTAGCATTTTCTATTAAAAAAAAAAACCTGTTCCCCAGTCACAGCGATTCTGAGACCATCAATAGTCAAAGCTAACTATAGGCAAAAACCACCTCACAAGAGCGGGGATCCAGCACGACTGGGGAATGCTCATGATTGCCATGAAGGAAAAGCAAAGAATTCCGTCCAATCAGCTAACCAATTTAGACAGGATCTGCTATGGAGCGATACCTGAACTACATTATCATCTCAGATGACAGAAACACATGGCAGATTTGTCATATGGTTCTTTTAATCTATGAACAAAAACTAGGAAGTGAACTGGATATGCAAATATCAATCAACACAGCAGTATACAAACAAGCATCATGGAAAGCATTGTCTCTCGTAAAATAGAAAGGTATAAGCATATGGTTATGCTTTACGCAATATATAGTCTCCATCTTTAAAATTTTCAACATGACCTCACATGATATCACCTTCAACTTCTTGCAAGTTGCAATGCAATAAATCCAAGACATGTTCCATTATTCTAATTCAAAAAATGTTTGCTGATCAAAATGAAAGGAGGTTGCCCCAAATGAGTGAAATAAGCACAAGATCTGACATTTAGAAAGATTTGGTAGGAAACGGTGGTGCCCTGACACGTCCCTACTACTTCAGTTTCGAAAACAGCTTTGGTGCAACCTGCATTTGAAAATGCCAAATTCAGTTGATGACCCAAACCAAAATCTAGATGAACTCTGAAAAGGTGAAAGAGAACTTACACATTTATCAACACAGGACCAGTAATCAAAGTACTGTCCTGTACAATGTTTGTGGCCACTCTCATCGCCTTGAATTCTCTTCACACATGCCTGTAACAAGTACCACGGAGTTATAAGCTCTCAGCCACAAAATCATATCCTTGAGCTGAAGAAATATCCATTCAGGAGAAACCAATAAAAGAAATGATTTCTTTTATCTGTAACTACCAAAGAAATGATTTCAAAATTTGTTGAGCCAGAAATTCTGGCACCAACAGAGAGCATGTTCACACTTCACCAACAAATTATCAAGAATAATCCTCTCTTATCAAGCAGCAAAAGATTGAAGATGAAGTAAAATCAGTGCTTTTTAGTCTCAAGAGGGGCAACAGTCAATGGTGCATGGAGTGAACAAGTAGATTTAAAGGTTTAGGGTATGGCAGCGAAAGAATGTTAACAAGTTGAATAAAAGATCTTAACAAGTGAAACTGGTGTGTTCATTTGCCTTTCACTTCTAAAGCCAAGGATTTATTAGACTATGAATTCATTTTCTCCAGATAGCAGACAGAAAATAAACAAATGAATACAAGGAAGAAGTTCACTGCAACAAACCCAAAGTAGCTTTAGTGCTTTGGTGATTACTGGTAAACTCAGCTAAGCTTCAGAAGAATTCTCTACATTTGGCTCTTTGTTTCATTTACTTTCATAAATTAACACATTAATAAACCCTCTAAAGCTTAAAAAAAAAAGCATTTGGTACTCAGCCTCACAGAACCTGGATGGTTTTAAAGCTGACATATTCAATGTGCAATGCAAATCCCTGTCCTCAATTTAGAAATCCGATGACAGACATTATTTAGACAATCCATGATCAAGATCTTTGCATTTTTAATTGCTTTCTAAAATATTGGAGTATGTTTGGGCACGTTTAAGAAAATACACATTTGACAACTATTTCCTTATTGAGCCCAGGGAAGACAGGAAAAAGGATCTTACAATAATACAAGTCTGTAACTTCCATGGAACCCATTTTTTTCTTTCTTTTCTTTTCTTTTTTATTGAACAAACATCCCATTCATTCAATATCAAGATACAGGAAAAACCTTAATGACAAACAAAAGAACTACATGTACGCAATCCAAGATTTACACTCACACATTCTATAAACAAGTCGAAATCTGAAAACACCTTACCTGATATTCAAGCAATGGCCTCACACACTTAGGCTTGCAAGCTTCCTCAAGATACTTCTTTGGATCTACAGGTTCCTCGTCCGCCCTAAATTTAATTGAAACAGAGCAAATGCATGTAAAACATCTCTCCAAATATAAGTGCAATGTAGTTTAACAAACAGGAAAAGAAAGTTCCTGCTTCAAACTAATCCAACAGTTGATATCTGCGATACAAAATATCTAAACCAGTTGTTTTTAATGGTTCTAAGCATAATTGTTCCAAATGGCACTACATGATATTGTCAGACATTCCACAGGTAAGGAAGACAGCGCCATGTCATGGTTCATGACCCTAAGACAAAGTACCTAAACCAGAAAAGGTGAGACATTCTTATGTGCGCTTTCTATTATATTTACAAAATAGAAAAGCAGGGCAGACATGCAACTATATTTATTTCAGTAACTTTAAACAGCAGGGATACGAACCTTCCTTTTTCAACCTCGCCTCCCCACATAAAAAATAAAAAATATTGACTAAAGCCCCAGTTTATCACAAATATACCCTTTAAATTGGTATAATTCACTATTGATCTGCGTGTTCTAGTCCACAACACAATAACTTTTTACTCCATCGTAAAATCCAAAAACCTACCTTTCATTTCCATGGATTATTTCACCAATATACAATCACAAACCATGGCAGACCAAAAATAAGATTTAATAAATAAATCAGTAAAGCTTGCTATAAGCACATTTGAGTGGCAGTAAATTAAGAAGGACGAAATACTCACATATATTAGAACTAAAAGGCACGGTGAAACAAATTGGCGACTTCTCTGCAATTATTTGAATCCATTTAATTTAATCACTAAAGACATCCAAAGAACGAAGGAAGAAGACCTAAAATATTGGAGAAGGCGATTTGCGAATTACAAATAATTGTGTGTGTGAAATTAACAGTGAGGTTAGCAAGAGTTGTGAAAATAAAGGATCGACGATGGGAGATTGAAATAGCAGACAGAGAGAAGTAAATGAACGGAATCTCACCTTGGTTGGGAGCCGGAGACACGAAAACCGGGTGATTGACGCAGGCAAAGCGACTGCTGGTCCTCTGGGATTTACTTTTCTAGAGAGATCTATAACCTGAGCCTGAGAGGACTAACGGGCCTGTCCTGGTTGGACTATAAACCTTCTACATTAACGAGCCTGATTTGACCCACTTCAGCTCACAGTAATTCCTTTGATTTTTATTTTTTTTTATTTTGGGAATTATCAGGATTTTTATTTATTTATTTATTTATTTATTTAAATAATTCATAAAATAACTTGGTTTTTTTATGATTAATGAATTTCTGATGGGTCCACACTATAAACCTTCTACATTAACGAGCCTGATTTGACCCTCTACAGTTCACAGTAATTCCTTTGATTTTTTTTCTTATTTATTTTGGGAATTATCAGAATTTTTATTTATTTCTTTAAATAGTTCATAAAATAACTTGGTTTTTTTATGATTAATGAATTTCTGATGGGTCCACAAATGCAGTAGCTCTCTCTCAGTTTTCTATCTATTCTGTTCTTGCTCTTCTTTTTTCTTTGTACTGTGTTAACCAGAGAATATATATATATATAACCCAAAGTAGAGAGTACAGCCCATTTGGAATGTTTGCTCCACCTCCATTTCTGAAATGTGCCTTGGTACGCCAAGGGCGATAGACAAAATAAAACAAGAGAAAATAAATAGTAGCAAGCATTGAACCAAGTCATACTATCCTAGGCACTCTGCTTAATGCACTGATTTGACAATACAAAGTCTCCCGGCTTAAGTTACTTATAGAAACTACAACCCAGGTGCAGTCCTTGTTGGCACAAGATGTTGATGCTGGTGGGTGATTATGATGATAATATGAAGGCAGGGAGAGATTAGATCCGTACAAATGACAAGGCTTTTAGTGTTTTTGTCCGCAAGCCGAAGGCAAGTCCACACCTAAGGATGAAACTAGTGCACATGTTTGCCTCAAATGCACAGATTGATAAAAACATGCTCTCCTGCTACTCTTCCATGTCCCAATCCTACACTGGAAACAAGGGAGAAGATCCGACTCCAAAGCCACTCCAACTAGGACTTTTTGGTCAGGGATGCAACCAATCACCCAAAATTCTGGCTTGAGTTGTTTTTGGTGTCGTTGGGCCTTGCATTCATACACAGCTTCCTCCTGTCTCACTCCCTACGAGGGATTTGCACACTCTGTCAATTGCTTTAGATGCTGCTCAATAATCCCATGCATCAACCTACAAGCACAAGGGACTGTTATGCTTTCGTCCTCCAGCAGCCTCCAAAAGGGATTTTACCAGTCTTGTTGGAGCAGCCAAGGCCACTGAATTGTTTGCTCTGCAGGACATGGTATTCATATAAGCTGCGATATTTTAAATGTCTTTGAGCACATGAGAAGTTGTTTAAAATTCATGCACTACAAGCTTTTTGGCCATCCAATCGAAGCTTTTTGTCCCAGTGGCATATCTCCCTACATAGACTCTTATTTGTCAGCGAGAGGCCCAATCCACTGACAGCCAACTAGAAATTCGAAGTCAGTGAGCTGTTTATGGATTTCAAAAGGAACCTTTTCAGGGTATTTAACAGGTGCCGAAGATTGTAGGATGACAATCTTGATATGATACTCTCAATAGAACTAAAAGTTAATAACACCACCAGCCAGTAGAACCATTAGCCACATCAAGAACTAAGAAACAAACAAAAGCAATGATTGAGATGGAACTTCGTTTCCTCGCAGCCAATATCAAGGTTCATAAAGAAGATTTTGCAACCATTACATTCTCCGAACAGTGCATGGACAATGCTTCACAAAGTCAAAAACTTCAAACCTGGGTACCAATCTCTAGGCGCAAACCACTGTGAGGCCAATTCACGTATAAATCTCAAAGAGGACTTGGTCCATTACACTACCAAATAATCACATAGAGATAAATCAAAATCTACTCCCAACTTCAGTTCCGAAGTGCATAATGCAAACATCCTAAACTCATTTCTTGTACTCCGCAAATGTAAAGCACTCAACAAGTGATGTGGATATAATTTCTAGCTAATAACTAAGAATATGCATCAGAAAGGACGCAAGTAAAACACTAAATGAAGAAACAATACAACTTGGAGCAATCTCCTACAGAAGTAAAGTGAAAAGAAGAATAAAAACATAAATAACTTACAATCTCATGGGGCATCATCATCAAAAAGAACTTTATAAAACCGTTTCCTTTCTTCAGGGTCGAACAAACCACCCAGCTTATCACCACTATCATCTTGTTCAGTCATTTCTGTGCTTCCTTCCTTCCTTTTCTCTTTTCTTACAGAAACAATGCCTTTCTTCCTCTGCTTTTCTAGATTCACTTCATAGCGCCTCCGGTTATATTCATGGAGCCCTTCCTGCATCAACTCTCCAAATTTATCCTTCACAACAACAAGCGGATCCTTGTCAATCAATTCTGAGCCATTATACCCTTCTCTAAGAAGAACAGTATAAATCTGATACTTATTCGACACATAAAATATACCTGGATGCTTAAGAAGCAGAATATTTAGTTTCTCAGGTAAATTAAACTCTCGTTTAAAATGACCCAGTTTCACAATTGACATCTTCTTCCATAATGTCAATGACAGTAACTCGTGCACTAAACCCACTATTCTTTTCTCCATCTCCTTTGAACCTTCCAATAAACCTCTTGAATCCACATAAGGAGAAATATAAGGAGTAGCATTGAATTCATTAAACCTTTCCCATGATTTAACCCAAGTTGATGGCAAAGAACAACTAAAACAAGGCTTAGAAGAACCCTGTTTTCTAGCCGAGACTTCAACAGCAGAAATTGCCAAATCTGGGTTCCATGATAAAAGTTCAATCTCCATTGAACTCCTTCTCCCACTATGATTAACAAACCTAAACGTATCAGGGTATTTAGGCAAAATCCTAATCAAATAATCATCAGGGAATCCGAGATTTCTCTTTAACTCGTTAAGTTTAACAACATTAAGCCTATGATTCACACTCAACATCAACAACTTACTTAATCTCTCAACAAAGACAGGTTCTTGCATTTCTTTAACAGACTCTTCCTCCTCCACTAAGAACAACATTCTCTTTGATAATTTACAATGATACTCATCGTTTTGTAGATAAACATCGAAACAACAAGGGTATTTTTTAAGCCAGTTAAGAGCTTTACCTTGAAGGTCTAAAGTCTTGAACTTTTTTTGAAGAAACTTGACCGGTGCATCCTGGTTGGGGTATCTAAGGATAATATTTTTTATTTGATTATTTACTATCCATCTACGGTTTCGCGAGAGAGCAGACTCCAGATCCGGGTCTTTTTTCATGGACCAGAGTGAGAAGCTTCGGTGGAGATAATAAAAGATTGATGATGTTGATGATGGAGACTTGTGTCTGTGACTGCAACGGTTTAGGTTGTTGACAAACATGGCGTTGATGAAACCACTTCCTTTCCCTGGCTTCAGACTTCACGCTGCTTGCTTGCCTGCCTCCTGCCGGCCTTTTGATGTCGAGTCGAGTCTTGGTTTGGTTTAACTTTGTTTTTTAACTTTACCCTCTTTTCTTACTGTGGTAAATTATGTTTTTATTTGTGCAATTTTTATGATTGTTGTTGCTTTCTTAATTCTTCATTTTCCTGTATTATTCTAGTTTGGAAAAATTACATTTAATATTTAATATTTTATAGTTTAGTACATATTGTAATTACTGGTTATAGTTTGAAAAATTAACACTGCATCCTGGGTCAATAAGAATTTTCAAATCTAACGATTTGATCATAATACCTTCATATATCTTACGTATAAAATGAGTAGAAATGACAAATTGATCTCTCTCTCTCTCTCTCTCTCTAAGCTATTGATTTTTCTTTTGTATAAGGTGCTAATTTCTCTTCTCATGCATCATTATTGGTTTCTCGCAAGTGTTGCATCTAGAATTCAACAATAATAAACAAGTATGTTCCCATTATTATTATTTTTTATCATGACATTGTAAAGTGCATTTTCTTTTTGTTAAACATTTTAATTCAATTGTTTAATGGTTTTTTTACTTAAGTTAAAAAATAGAAAAAAAAAAAGCATCAATGCTAAAACTTTAATCTCAAAACTAGAAATATACTAAATAATTCATTTTTTTTTGTCGCAAACAACAATAGTCACAATCTAAAATATATTTTTGATAGTGGGAAAACAATTAGTATTCCTAAAATAAACCCAAATTGAATATTATGGTTACTATTCATATAATTTTAATATTATTTGCATAAAACATGTTTAATTAATGTTTAACCCATATTTTTTAAAAAAATTAACCATTGTTGAACTTAA